TCAACCTGACCCAACCTGTGGGCCACAAACCCAGAATGAACAGTGCCAGGCATCCCAGAGCTGTGCATGTGAGGGGCCTTTTGCTTCTGGGACTTACTGAGGTTGGGTCCCCAGGGGTTCAGGACCCTGAGCTGCCAGGCCCCAACCCACTTCTATCTAGATTTCTCTTGAGCCCCAACAGGTGGGAGACAAGAGAACATCTCCTTCTGGGGCTCAACCAGCACCAGACTCCTGCCAAAGGCCAGCACTGCCAGGGCAAGACAAGCATTTCCACTGCTGGGAGATGGAATCAGTCATGACAGGGAGACCCTCGTCCCAAAGGAACAAGGAGAAATACAGGGGTGATGTCCCTTCTGGGATGCAGCTGCCAGGCTTGTTTAGGAAAAAACATTATGCCCGTTCTAACCACAGCAAAAGTGTGCAGACATCTCAGAGTCTACGCCGGCATTAAGGACATTTACAAACCCACCTAGCTAATTCTCAGCGGCCTACAGGGAGGAGGGGCAGGTTAGGGAGGTGGAATCACCAGGAAGAATTAGACGAGCATGTTGCAAAATACATGCAACTTGGGCGCTGGAGGCACCCCCAGAGAAAGGCACACAGGAAGACACACACGAACACACACACACACACACACCATGAACACATGGAGACCCTCAGCCGCATTCTCCACTCTACACAGCCCAGAGCAGCCTGCAGCCCCAGCCAGCCTTCACTGGCTCACAACAGACACCTGTCATGGAGGCCCCCACACCTGTTCGCCTGGTGCCTGTGTCCCTTGAGTCTGTACCTCCTCCTGTGTGTGTGCACCTGCCAGGCCCCCTCCCTGCTCCCTGCCCTTAGGAGAGGGAGGCACCACCCCAGTCACTACTCCCACCAGGAGGAAGTTTTTCCAGCCTTGTCACTCAGCCCTCTCCTCCCATCACCCCCTTCCCCTGGCCCCTCACATCATGCTGACTTCCAGGGCAGCCCCCCACACCCTGACCTCGCCAGCTGGTTGCTTTCTGACTCTGCTGTGACGCCTTTCTCTACCCGGACCGTGCACAGCCCCCTCCCGCACTCCCAGTGAGTTCTGAAGACCTGAAGCTCCAGGCTCTCACTTCCAGCAGCCAGGGAGATTCCTTCTTCCCTCCCTAGCCAAGAGGGACTCTCCACACTCCTTGTGGGAGGGTGCTGGGGACAGCATATTCTCCAGTGGGGAGTCCCCACACCTGGACATAGAAGCATGGAAGAGTGGGCCTTTACCCAGGACCACTGGGATTCAGATACTAACTTTGAGGGTGGCGTCCCATAGGAGAGGGGGTGAAGAAGAACGCTTGATCTTGCCCTAGGGGGTAGATTATAGTTTCGGAGCTGCCTGTCTGCCCCACCCAAGGCTGGGATCTGGGGAGGGCGCTGCTTGCTCTCCCCCCAGCGGTCAGGCCACGCTATTACAGGGGCTTGGGGCCAGGCCGCTCGGGCTCTGTCGCCAAAGAGCTGTCCCCCAGCCCCACCAGGACAAGTAGCGGTAGACGGGATCAGCTCCAGGCACTTCCCCTTCCCCCAGAACCTCCGCTCCAGCCCCCAGAGACCGGGCAGGATGCCCCTCCCTGACAGGCTGTGTGCAGCGCCTTGCTCAGCCTGCTCAGCCAGGACCTGCACCCTCAAGGCTGTCCTCAACCTCCCAGAGGCCTCTGGACACAAACTGCGGGCAGAGATCTGTCCAGGACCAAGAAATTCACTTCAGTCCTTACCTACAACCCCTGCGGGCCGGCAGGAAACCGCCACCACCAGGGCAGAATGCCACTGCCATCCTCTGCCTCCAAGCCCCTCGACAATGCAGGCAGAGGAGACACATCCAGGCATGCTACAAGGGGATGACCCTCATTCCCAACTGGCCGGACACTCCCTCAGGCAATGACACACACCTCACTCAGAGACACCGGCTGTGACATGGTCACAAGGATCTGAGGCCACAGCAGAGCGACTCCTGCAGTGCTCACAGTGACTGACCTAAGACTGCCAGCGACAGCTCAGCCGAGCCCTGGTGGGAACTGAGGCCAGCAGGGATGAAAAGGGGCTTCATTCCTTGGGAATCCTCCTGTGGCCCACCCACCTGCCTCCCACACTCCCACAGGAACACCCAGGAATGCTGGAACCTGCGCAATCAGAAAGTCCTGGGAGTCTAGCTGAGGGTCTGAGCCCAGGGAAATCCCAGCATAGATGAACCCATGGGGGACGAAGAGAAGGAAGAGAGCCCTAGATACCTGCCACTGCCACTCCCCCAAGTAGCACATTTTAAATCCTCCCCAGCGGCCACCACCCTTCCTCAAACCTAAGCATGCACAGCACGTGGCCAGCCCAGCTCCGGGGTGAGAAACTTTGGGGCCTCCAGAATGGTGGGGGAGAGAGCCACACGGTTCCCATAAGGAGTAGGACTAGCTCTCCCGGTCCGCCTCTCTGCCTGTCTCCAGGCGGTTCCCAAGTTCTGAAGAAGGTAATGACCACACCCTAGAGACCCACACACCCCTCCGCCCCCATGGCTTTGCCCCAACTCCTCAAACCAGCTCCTCAGGCTCAGGGTGACCGGCTCTGCAGGGACCCGCCAGCCAATTCCAAGTCCAGCAAAAGAATCCAACCTTGGCAGCACTCGCCACCTTTCCCCAGGGCTTCTCGAGGGTCAAGATGACTCCAGGGACCCCCAGCTGCCTCCCTGCTCTGGGCTGACGCTGACCCTCCCTGCCCTGGGCCCTCAACAGGCCCCTGTCTCCCACCCCAGGCCCTGGACCACGTCTGGCTGGCACAACTCCTCAACTCCGCGGGGTCAACTCCTCAAGGAGTTCACAGACCAGGACCCCTGAATCGCTGGGGTGGGCCTCCTTTTCAGCCCGCATGACTGATGAGGCTCCCAATGTGTCCCCGTTCTCTGATCAGTGTCCCTGTGCATAGCCTCTTAGGGTGAAAGGCTTTAGAGAGGGGCTCAGACAGCCTCTAACCACATCTGCAGCCCCCAAACCCTGTGACCTCTCCTAGCTCCACTCTCGCCCTCCTAGTCCCCTCCCCCCTACCCCATAGCTCACAGCTCAAAGGGAGGAGCCCCCTCCCTAACTGCGGGGGCTCCCCTGGCCTCCCCATTCTGCACACGCCACTACCCACGCGGTGGGGGGTGGGCAGAGCTGCTGTCCCTAAGGGCAGGAGAAGGAAGCTTCCCCACATTCAGCTTCTGAAAGGAAGTGAGTGCCACACCCTGCCCCCGAGATTTCCCTCTTGGGGTGGGGATGAAAGTGAGAGCGAGAGCTACTCCCCAGAATGAGCCAGTATGGGTGCAGAGACCCTTAAACGCCTTCCCCCACTCCCTCAACTTCACTACGACAGCCCCTCACTGTAGTGCACAAAACCGACCCCACACCCACCATGCGCTGCGCTGTGCCAGGAAGGGCAAGCAGAGGGGAGAAGCCCTGTAATCCGAGGTTGGACTCTAACGAAGACGAGTTCAAAACCAATTACTGGGCCCCCGCAATGCCTTTCCACAAACCCCCTCCACAGAGCAGGGCACTCTGCAGCGACCGCACGCTCCCTGGGAGCACCTCACCGCCACCGTCGCCGCGACGGGAGCCACACCCGGTGAAACGGGCAAGCACACACATCTCACACAACCCTCTTATGGCCTCATTATGCAGAGGGGCCAGAGCCGTTCCCCACCTGGTTGTCTGGGCTCGGCTTCAACTGCGAACCCCCATCTGCCCTCTCCGCACCCCTCCCAACAAGGGGCACACCAGCCCTGCTTGGGCCCCAGGAGTCCCTCATGGTCAGCGCCGCCAAGGGGCTGCGCCCCCACACCCTGGGCTGGGCACTGCTGGGGGGCGGCCGGCCCTGCCAGGGGCGGCTCAGGCCCTCGCACGCTGCACACCCCTCCTCGCATGGGAAAGCCTTACATAACACAGCTCTGCACACACCCTAAGCACGCCGCCTCTCCAACCCCAGGCGGGACCTCGCCCCGGGCCCCCTCTCCTGGCGCGCACCGCTGGAGCGCAGGGCTCCAGCGAGCGCAGATTAGCCCGCCTCCCACGCCCAGCCCGGCTCCTGCCCCCAACTCCCACACACAGCCCCTTCCTCCTCCCCTTTGCCCCTCACCACTCCTCCCCGAGTTCTGGTTTGAATTAGTCACCGGCTCCAACCACCACATTCCTCAGGCTGCTGGCGCCGGGCCAGGCGCTGGGGCGGGGGCCATCCCGCCCGGACGGGTTTGGGAGCTGGGTGGGGGGAAAGCGCCGCCTCCAAAGGGGAAGGGGCGGTCCCGAAGCCTGGCCGCTGCACAGCACCCCCTCCTCGCCCACCCCAGCGTAGGAATCTCCCTAATTATGTCCCCCTCCCCACCCATCCCGCTGGGAGGCACATTGCAAACTTCCAGGCTCCGAGGCCCGAGAGGAAGAAGGTTTTCTGGAGCGGGGAACACGGAGAGGCAAGCCTAGGGCGGGGCAGCTAGAGGGGCTGAGGGACCGGTGGTACAGAACAGGGTGGGGCCTGGACGACTCTGGACGCGGTTAGGGGCGTAGGTGCCGGGAGCGTGGAAGGATAGCCGAGGGGGCGCGCGGCGCGGGGGGCCGCGGAGGCGATCCCGGAAACTTCCCCTCCAGTAAACACGGGATCCGAACGGAGAAGCCCCTGAGCCACCGCCCCATTCAGGGAGAGGAGGTGGGACAGAGGCCACCAGGCCCGGAACCGGGCGCCCTGCCTTGTAGTGGAGCCAACAGCCTGCCCTCCGGTGAAATACGGAGTGAAGCAAAGCACTTCTGAGCAATTTTCCAACTTTAACTAACTTGCGCCCCAACTCCGGAGGCAGCGCTCCGCTCCCAGAAAGCCACGCGTCGCCTCCCCGGGCGGCCCCGTTAGTTCCAAACTGAATTCTCACAGTGACACCCCCAACTACGCACCCCACCGGAGCCCCGCAACCCGCCTCCACCCACCCGCCGTTGGTGGCCCGGCCCCCGACTGCGCCCAGATGCGCCTGGCGCCCCTACCTGCGAGCTCAGCCCCAGGGCACAGCCATAGCCGGCGCGGGGCCTGAGGCTGCGGTGCTGCGGCTGCTGGCAGTGACGAGCCCCGGTCCGGGCGGGTCTGGCAGGGCGGGCGGTGCAGTCCCCGCGGCAGAGCAGCTCCAAGTGGCCGGTCCCCCGTGCGCGGAGGCGGCTCTTGTAACTCCGGCTCCGGCGGGCGGGTCTGCCCGGAGCTGTAGGGAGAGGGCGGGGCCGGGCGGGGCCCATATGGGGCTGGGACTGGCGAGCGGGGCCGACCCTGGAGGGACCCGGGAGGGGAATACTAGGGAGGGGGGCCATTGGGGGACGCGGGGACGTTGCTTTGCCCCCTGCCGCCATCCACTGCCCCCGTCTTATCCCGGATCTCGATCTGCTCACTGGCCAGAAACTCCTGCAGGCTCCCTGGGCTCACCCTCACAGCTGGAACTGCGTATCCACTTATTTTGCAGGAAGGGCCTGGGGGCTCTGAAGGCGGCTGGGGGCTTGGGTGATTCCGCCGCAACCTCCAGCAGGATACGGACCTTTGAGTTTTCTCTCAGCTTAGGCAACCACACTTCAAATCCCAGGCCCCAGCCTCCTCGCTTGGTTCCCAAGCTCCATGCAGCCGCGCCCATTTCTCGCGTTCGCTCTTTCTGGGGGCCCCTCAGTCCCTACCCACGCAGAACCGGCCTGGATTCCCACCCCCAGGAGCTGGGGTCACCAGTACCCCGCGCACCGCCCTGCTGCGCAGGCCGTGGGCTAACGGGAGTGAGGCCCGCAGGCGTTGGAGAGCGGACCTGACGCCCACCTTCCTCTCCAGACTCCCGCCTCCAGGAGCCGGAGCCCCAGCGCTTCCTCTGCCTCCTATTCCTTCTCCACACCCCTCTACGCGCCCCTCCCCCACCTCCCCGCTCGCGGGACACTAAGTCTCCCATTTACAGCAATTTCCCACAGCCACTTCTAACTACAGGGAGATTTTATTAAACGCTTAATGACGGGGTGCGGGGCCTTCTGGCTACACGCTCCCTCCCCTCCACACTCCCTTTCTCTTCTCCCCCAGGAGTCCTCTTATCCTCCCTCCTAGGTGGCCACCCAGGCCCACTCCAAGCCAGTGTCCCCTCCTTTCCAAAAGCTGGGAAAGAGAGACTGCAGGCTGGGGAACTGAGGAGATCTGGCCCAGGCGGGAGCACCCTTCTTGCTGCAAGATCATGAGTGGGCTGGAGCTGAGACCAGCTCGGCCCTGTCCTCTGAAATGGCAAACATGTTTACAGGCTAAAAATACTCAGCAGTCAATTCTGCTGCCAACCCTGGGGGCTGTGTCCAGGTCCAGTTACCGGCACAGGGTACAGGCTGTGGGGGAGGGAAGACACAGCCCGGGGAGCCACAGACATGGGCACTCATATAATGGACACAGAAAGGTGGAGCCGCATGTGTAGACATCTAGACAGGCAGAGACAAGTGAAAACACAAAGCAGAGGCGGGCACCAGCATTTTCTCTCGCTCTCTCTAACACACACACAGGTGCCCAGATCATGACTCAACCCCAAGGCACAGGCAGCCCCGCCACAACACATCCCAAGCACACATAGACCCAGACTTTCCCAAGAATCACCTTCTCCCCATTTTGTTCTGCACCCCTTATTTCAAGAGCACCTACATTATTTAAAGAAAAAAATCTAAGCTTTCGAACTATGAAACGCTCTAGGAAAAAAAAAAAAAAAAAAAACACCAAGGTCAGGTATGATGGCTCACGCCTGTAATCCCGGCACTTTGGGAAGCCAAGGCAGATGGATCACTTAAGCTCAGGAGTTCGAGACCAGCCTAGCCAACATGGTAAAACCCCACCTCCACTAAAAATACAAAAATTGGCAAGGAATTGTGGCGCACGCCTGTAATCCTAGCTACTCAGGAGGCTGAGGCAGGAGAATCCCTTGAACTTCGGAGGCAGAAGTTGCAGTGAGCCAAGATTTCACCACTGCACTCCAGCCTGGGGGACAGACTCCATCTCAAAAAAAAGAAAAGTACAAAACATAGACGTCTCTCTCCTCCCCTGTCCCAGTCCCTCTCCCCAAAAGTAACCATTGTTAACAATTTACCAAAGGATTTTTAATTTTATGAATGAATCATCATTTGGTTCCTTGAAAGAGCAAATGTTCCAATGTTCCCAGTGCATATTAAAATAGAGGATGAGCCAGACACGGTGGCTCACACCTGTAATCCCAACACTTTGGGAGGCCAAGGCAGGCAGATCACGAGGTCAGGAGATCGAGACCACCTGGCTAACACGGTGAAATTCCATCTCTACTAAAAATACAAAGAAATTAGCTGGGCGTGGTGGCACACACCTGTAGTCCCAGCTACTCGGAAGGCTGAGGCAGGAGAATCGCTTGAATCCATGAGGTGGAGGTTGCAGTGAGCCAAGATCTTGCCACTGCACTCCAACCTGGGCAACAGAGTGAGACTCCGTCTCAAAAAAAAGGCTGGGCACAGTGGCTCACGCCATGGTGAAACCCTGTTTCTACTAAAATAGAAAAAATTAGCTGGGCATGGTGGCGCACGCCTGTAGTCCCAGCTACTCAGGAGGCTGAGGCAGGAGAATCACTTGAATCCAGGAGATGGCGGTTGCAGTGAGCCGATATCGTGCCACTGCACTCCAGCCTGGCAAAAGAGCAAGAATCTGTCTCCAAAAAATAAAAAGAAAGAAAAATCGGCTGGGCATGGTGGCTAACGCCTGTAATCCAAGCACTTTGGAGGCCAAGGTGGGCAGATCACCTGAGGTCGGGAGTTCAAGAC